CCCCACCCCTATTTGTTGGTTACATGTTTGCCAAGATGCAAAGAAATAAACTCTCAGGACCAGAAAAGAAATCCATCTCTAGATGGTAAAGTAACATTTGCTGCCTCTTCGCCCCAACTTCCCACCTGCCATGACCTGCTCTCCTGTGGACGTGGGCATTGTGCCTGGCATCGGCAGCTCCTGGCAGCAGGTGGCTCCCCCACCTGGAAGCCTGAAACTGGAAGAGCATGAGGATCAGACTGGCTTTTTTGGTTAGGATAAGAACCTGAGGAAGGATTAGTGTGACAGAATGAAAGGAAACCATCGTGCTGTGAAAAGGCTTCAGAAAACAAAAGTGAGGCGTGATTTGTCTTCCTGTGGGAGGAATCCCGAGTCTTTAGTGAACTGCACTGACTGTGCTGTGTGTTCATCCCCCCCGGACGCTTCAGAAAGAGCCTGAATCACTTTTGTACTGGAGCATGAAATTAAAAAAAATAAAGGATTCATGTGGCTATAAATAGATTTTTGCTTTCGATCTCAGTCAAGTAGTTTAAACAAAGTTTGGCACTTGATAACTTCCATACTGGCTCAGCTGAGCATCTCTATTGGTCCTTCAGCAGCAGAGTGGTTTGTGATTTGACAGACAAACATAAACACCGACTTATTACTGATATTTATCAGTTTCCATACAAATAACGACCTTCACACCTGCACATCCGCACAAGCTGTGTTTGAATGATCAGATCAGGTCTTTGCTCTCATGTTCTCCTTGTGACACATTCAAGTGTTTCTTTACGACAAACTTGTCTCACGTATGAATCGTCTTTGTATTATTGTGCTGAGACCACATTTGTGATTGGCTGCTCGCCCTGCGGGAGGCCGGAGTGGGTGGGGTGCTTTAAGAGCCGCTGCCTGCCTCCAGTCGTGTCTCGCAGCAAAGCGACTCTCAGCAGCAGCAGCAGGAGGAGGAGGAACAAGCGGAGGTGCAGGAGGAGGAGAGCCGAGCACATCCTAAAGTTTGTAGCTGCAGCTGTCTGGACGCAGCGGACGCACGGACTGCGCACCTGAATCAGGTTGGTGTCGTATGACGGGCAGAGATCTGGGAGCACGCAGCTCCGTGATGACTGAAAACAGCAGGCAGCGATCATTTAAGTAATCACAGCTCAGATGTTCACGCCTTCGTGCGAGACTGCCGTGTGTCGTCGTGTCGCTCGAGGCTCCAAGTTCAAAAGTCCGCAGACGATCGTTTGTGACAAAACTTTCTCTGCTCTGTCTCCTGGAGCTCAGCCCCAGCCTGCCAAAGCTGTTAGCTGATCACTGTTTCTGCCAGAGGGCAGCAGTAAAGGCTCCTGTAGGTTTGGGAATAAATAGGGGTGAAGATCGAAGGGTCGGACGACCCAACCTGCAAACACAGGCGCTGCTGCATCGTTTCCCGTCATCGTCTGATTGTTTCATCTGTTGGAAATGTTGTAAAAATGTTTATAAGGCAGCGCAGTTTTTGCAGTTTTAAGAAGGTAAAGTTAGATCAGTAACCACGTGACCTGCTCACCTGGATATGCTTGAAAAAAACATCCTAAGGCTACTGTACCATGAAATTACTCTGACTGTCCTCTTGAAAGACAGAATTCATTCTCTGCTCGTAGCCCTGTGAGAGCCAGCTTCAGGAACTATGGACTGAATGATCCTGCTGAAATGGGCTGTTGTTGTTTCTCTCTGAGTGCCCTGCAGGACAGCAGGTAGGACAATAAGATGGCACAGGTGCATATGTCCTACACAAATGGCAGAACTGGGGTCATTTCAACGTTGGTCAGAATAAAAATAGACGTTGGTTTCATCGTATATTTGAAATCCATCCATCTGCACACTGATCGGCTCTGTGCAGCTATCGTGCAGTTTGAGTCCCGTGTGGGTTTTGGCCTGTCCTGCACCGTATCGTTAACTTATCAAAGTATAAATCTGTGTCAGCCATTGGATGCTCCACAGCCTCCTTGGCTTCTTCCATCCATATTGTCTCCTGTTACAGTGACAACTGCTGAATAATTCACCGTGCCTCGCTAACTGTAATCAGGAGTCCAAGTTTGGGTATCTGATGGTGGTTGCTGAGCAGAGAGGTTCGCTGTTTTGGAGACCCGTTGGAGCTTTCAGATTAAAATGTAAGTGATACCCCAAAAAGAGCTATTTAATTGTCTTGGCTTAAAATAGAACCAATAAAAAGACTCGCTCCAGTGTCTACACTGTGCTGGCGGCTGCACATCAGTGAGCAAAGTACAGCTTCATTTGTCTAAAGTACAGACAGGCATCGTGCTGTAATGCATGGTTACATATTTCATTTTGTTTTTCTTAAATACTCCATTGGTATCTCGCTGCACTGCAGC